CTAGAGCCCCTGGTACCATGTACCAGGTATCTCAAGAGTGACTGGGCACTCTTCATGTAACTTGGGTACACTTGGGGTATTGTACCCCGTTACATTAGCGCTAGGTAACTAACTGCGTCTTGTTCTGGAATCGCTAACGTATCAATGTATCGGCTTACATCTATCGCATGCCGCACAACAGGAACTTTCGCAAGTAGTCGGTTGAACAGTCCCCAATCCGGTTCTGTGTCGAGCAATGTCTGCTCAGCAATACCCTCCTTTGTCAAAATCTCTTGTTGCTTCAGCACTTTTCGCTCACGTGGAGCTTGTGACGAAAAGAAACAGTTATCCCTTTAAATTGCTTAGGTATCTTTCCGGTCCCTGTCGTTCGCGTTCATCCTTGCTGCTGACCTGGTGTTCGTGCTATAACTTATTTTAGGCTTGGAGTGCGCGGCATGGCGTTATTCTTGCAATGAATCTGCTGCATTCGCCATATTTCTACGCTACGTCTTATGAGTTCTCAAGTGGTGAGCTGTACGAGTATCGACTTCTGATTGGTCAAAGCGAGTTATGGATTACTTCTCTGGGGTAAATATATGAAAGCGTCATTTTGAAGCGGGCCAGAGAAGTAAGAGTTAAGTATGAATTATGAGATCTCAAATACGGTAATATCAAGTGTCGACACTTGTTGGAACTATTTCGCGTGTAGAATCCATGCAAGGGGGGAAATCGGTTAGGGATTGACGATATTCATCCCGCCGATGGTTGAAAAATCAAACTCTACCGAGGCACTGCTGGATCAAAATGTAGCCAGGGCCCCACAAAAGCTCCGTAGCGTCTGAAATCGCCCGCTCACAAGCTTCCATCCTTCTTCAAAAGTTGTTTTTACTGTTGCTGCAATTGGACAGGCTCTTCGCAAGAACATTTTCTTCAATGACTCTGTCGTGTAGGAACACGTCAGAATTTTGCGTCTGCTTGGTACTCCCACCCACAACACACGCTAAACCCGCAAAGGCTCAGCGTAAGTTCGGGCGAAGCTTCGACCTGAAGGCCTTGACTCTGCCCTAGCACCGGGTTGATGATTAGACTCTGCGCGCTCCGACTCGATTGGTAGGTCCACCGATATACTTCAAAACAGCGACTAGTCCACGAGCAAAGACTAGGCTGCTATCACGCACACACTTGCAGTAACCTCGCTGGCCCTCAGTAGGGAAGGGTCCAGGGCTTGTTCAGCCGGTAAGCGAGGGCGACCGGAGCTTGGGTCTCTCGGTCTGATGGTATTATTGGAGGCTCTTCTTCGCACTCCACAGGGGTCGGACGCAGTCTCGTCCTCAACACTTCGGCA